ACGTATCTAGGTGCATCCGAAACAAGAGAGCATGACACCAAAAGAGGGGAGGTCCGAATGCAGACCAGGGTTCTTGCCGTGCCCCTCGGTCAACTAGAAGGAATCGAGGACAGTTGGGCGCGTCGTGAATGGTACTCGTGAGTGTGTGTGTGTGTGTGCAGCAAGATCTCCATCGAACACGCGTTGCCGAACAATGCTGGCTGCTCAGCCGCCTTGTGTTTCTCCAGGCATGCAGAAACCAATGCAGGTCTGACGTGGCGACCCCGCAATGTTGAACCGAAGAGCCCGACGCTTCAATTTGAAACCGGTGGTTTTTGAATCTGCAGCGTGCTTTTTTTCAAATGGAAACCGCTCCTTGTTCTACACCGTTCTGTTTTGTTATATCATATTGAGGCGTTTTGGGTGTCTTGGCGTCGGCAGTACTTCAAATAGGATTTTGTTCACACTGAACCGTCGGTCCGGGAGTGCCACGATTTCAAATCAAAGCCTCGGCTTCGAGGGGCCAGACCCGCAAAACGCGCCAGCGGCGGCCAGAGCCGGCCAGAGGAGGAGGGGAGGTTGAGGGGGAGGAGGAGGGGGAGGAGGAGGAGAAGGAGGAGGAGGAATCGAGGAATCGAGGAGGGGGAATAGTCGAGGAGGAGGAATCGAGGAGGAGGCTCTTCCCTCTCTCTCTCTATCCCTCTCTCTCTCGCCCCCTGGGTGGGTTTTTGGTGGGGCACGGGGGCAGTTTCGTAGCAAATCGCTGGAGCTGTGTGCCCCTTCTCGATGAGCGCTTCTCGACCCTCCTCGACTTGGCGTCGAGGAGGGTCGACTTGGCGTCGACTGGCATCGACCAGCGTGCGTCGAGCCGCAGGGGCCCACAAGACTGATGCGAGGTCACCTCCCCGGGCCACTCTCAATCCTCCTCCTCCCCCCCTCCTCTCCTCCTCCTCCTACTCCTCCTCTCCTCCTCTCCTCCTCCTCCTCCTCCTCCTCCTCCTCTCCTCCTTCCTCCTCCTTCCTCCTCCTCCTCCTCCTCCTCCTCCTCCTCCTCCTCCTCCTCTTCCCTCCTCCTCCTCCCTCCTCCTCCTCCTCCTCCTCGGGCCCCCCCCCCCACCCACGCCACCCCGCCGGGCGCCCCACGCGAGCACGCGACCCACCCCCACAGGCGCGAGCCCCCCCCCCCCACGCCCTCCGAAGGGGACACCACTCCTGCGGTCACGACGCCGCAGCACGTGAGAAGCAGTTCGCGTTCGGAAGGAGCTCGCCGTTTCTCGGGTCCTGCGATGGGCCGTTCCTCCAGCGCCCCCCGTGCACCCAGGCGCTTCTCGGGGGCCCAGAGAGAAAGTTGGCTTCGCTCCTCTTAGCGAAGACCTTACGGCCGGCGCCGCTGACCCCGAAGGGGGACGGCGACGACGAAGGCGACGGCGACGACGACGACTACGACGATGGCAACGACAACGACAACGAACAGTTACGACGACGACGACGATGACGACGACGACGAGGACAGGGCTTCGCTCCTTATTTACCAGCGTTCCGTGTCGTGGTAGCCTGATTGCATCTTCCCTCTTCCTGTGCTTAGTCTGCAACTCCGAGCCCCCGTCTTGCCGCCCCGGCTGCGCAGTGCGTCCGCCAAAACTGTTGCAATCAGAAGCGTAATTGTACCCCCCACGCTCGAGGGCGTCCGGAAGAGGGCTGAGGACCAAGGGGGCGTGGATATCATGGCCGAGGCCATGAAGTGCCCCCTTTTCCATCTTCCAGCATTCAGGAGGGGAAAACACACACAGACAAATTTCATCGTCGACTCCCAGAAAGATATTGGAAAACATTGGACGTGGGGGGGGGAAGACGGACACCCAGAAAACATAGGAAAATACGGGGAATCCTGGGATTCGTGTGTATTTATTTGCGTGTGTCCTGGGGCCCCTTCCAGCACGCCCCCTGCCCTTCCCCCCGCCCCCTCGTCCGCGCACGTGTCCCGGGCCATGATTCACTGTACCCCGCTCTTCCACGCCTGTCCTTCTTTCGGGCGCCCGCGGCCCCCCCCCCCCCCCGATCTTTGGACTCGTGTTAAGCAGCTCGGATTATGATGTTCCGATCTACTTTAGCCTTGTCCACCAGACAGAATTTCGAGCACCAGAAAAAGTACCGAAACTCGGGGGGGTCACGTTTCGGGCCCTGGGAGACACTCGTCCGACTCTGTTTCGACACTCTTTCGGCACTATTTCAACATGTTTCGGGGTGCTCGAAATTAGTTTTGGAATGTGGTCCTTAAGTACTATGAGAGCAACAGAAAGCTCGTAACCAATGGGTCTTGCTCTTAGTTGATATTGTAAAGCGCTGGGGGCGTGCTCGTTTTCCTGATTTCAGCTGGTCGGTGTTCGGCCAACCAGAACGGTGACGAAACAAGCATGATGTCCAAAACGTGCCGCAACGACGGTGCAAGACCGAGCCGAACCGAACAAGGCGCGCACGATCATCCCGAGAGGGAGCAACGGACCCCAGAACGGAACAGAAGCGTCGATCCTGAAAGCGGGCAAGACACCAGAAAACGCTTTTTGATCCGCGGGTCGAGAGCGAGCCTCTTCGGTCGAAGCCAAGCGGGCCGCGCACAGCTTGAATTAACAGAGGAAGGAAAAAAGAACGCGGGGCCTCACGTCAAGGCCAAGAGAGGGCAAAGCCCCAGGATCAGGCGTTGCCGAACCGACATCAGAAAACACGCCTCCAGCGTTGATAACATCACCGAGGGGCCCGCCTGCCGAGCAGCTCGGGAGCGCACCGCCGAGGCGCCGACGCGAGAGACCGCCCTGGGGCTCAGAGGAGGGGCTCCGCTGCTCGGGCCGCTCCTCAGCTCCGGGGCCCGGGGCCAGCTCGTGGCCGCAGCCCGCGGTGGTCCTCGGCACCGCTCGGGCGGGTGCTTTCCTCCTCCCAGGGTGTACCTTTTCCTGCACCTCCCGTGCGGCACCGCCTGATCCCTGGGCTTCGCCCGCCCCTGGCCGCGTGAGGCCCCGCCTTCTCCCGCCCTCTCTCTGTGTAGATTAAAGCTGAGCGCGTCCCGCGTAGCGTTCGGCGGAAGAGGTTTTTGCTCTCGCCCGGCAGATCCACAGCAGAGCACTCCTCCTCGGCGGGGGTCCCTTTGGGGAGCAGCCCGGAGCACCCCCATGCGAACAAAGCCACGCACGACGGCCGAAGAAGGCACAGGGGAACTGAGGAGGAGGAGGAGGAGGAGGAGGAGGAGGAGGAGGAGGAGGAGGAGGAGGAGGAGGAAAGGAGGAAGAGGGAGGAGGGAGGAGGGGGGAGGGAGGCGGGAGGGAGGAGAGGAGGAGGAGGAGAGGTGGACGTCCGAGCGGCGGCCAGGGTCCGGGGAGCCCCCGTCGCTCCTCGCTCGACGCTCCTGCCGGCGGCGCGGCGGCCGCACCCCGCGCGGGCAGCGGGCGCCCGCGGCCCCCGCTGCGTCCGACTCGAGCAGCCCCCGCGAGGCCGCCGCGGAGGCGCGCGGCGCCGCGGCCGCGCCCGAGCCGGAGAGCGACGGCGACGGCGCAGGCCGGCGGCGCCGCGGCACCCAGCCAGGAGGAGAGGTACAGTCGGGGCGCTGAAGAATGAACCCTTTTCGTTGGGGAGGGGCTCGGTGTTTTCCTGATTGTTGTGCAGTTTGCCTTGGGTTTTCCTTTCGTTTTTCCATGGGGAATCAAAAAATAAACTTATGGGAACAAGGGGCCTCGTTCCTTATTTAGGGTTCCTTAGGTCAAGCCCCCGACTGTAGGGGAACGAAAAACGGCATAAACATAAAAACTCGGAGGTCCGCGCGGATTTCTCGGATCCGCGCTGGGCCCCCCTCCCTGGCGCGCGGAGCGCGCGAGGGGCGGCGCCGGAG